CAGCAGAACTCGATCCGCTTCTTCCGCCAAACCTCGATAATCGCCGGTCGCCAGACATGCCGAGTTAGCCAAGACCGCGCGCACTGGGCCTGGTAGCTGGCGTAGGAAGATGCGCGGGAACAGAAATCCGCCTTCATCCGAGCCTAACAGCGACAGCATTTTGTCCATCAAATCCACTGCCGTGCCATCGCCCAGCCCGGGAAGGGAAAGGAGTCTGTCTGCTCTCTCCGAGTCCGATAAACTGAACCTCCGGAGCAGAAGCTGTTTGAGCGCGTCGTATTTCCCGCCTTGTGGAGGCGCCCGCAAGAGCTGCATCGCACGACGTGTAGTCTGCTGGTCGAGGGACGCTACGACCATGTAGTATTTCGGCTCATCGGCAGTGATTCCCCGTAGGTGGAAAAGCGCTTCCACATGCTGGAACCACGAAGCCGGGTCGCTCTGCCAGAACTCCGGTAGCCTCGCGGCAGAGGCGGCGGCTGCAACTTGCGGGAGTTGGGGCGACGTGGCGGAGGAAGACACCTCTTCATCCGTTAGCCGAATCATCATCACGTCGGGGTCACCAATGTGGCAGTCAAAAGGAGCACACACGATTGACTGTAGATATGTCTTTATTCCACGACTGCCAACAAGTGGATCTAAACAATTACAACATTGCGCCAAAGACATTCACCTAAACACGCCCCCTACTGTATGCCTGCTGGGTGAGAAGCATGGTCCTAGTGTCCGCCACACCCTTAAAAAAACTATTTGCCTGCTTCCCATAATACTCTTGGATATACTGTTGGGGGAAGAGCGGCCTCCTCTCTCCCGCATGTTCGTTGAATTTCGGATGAGGAGAATGTTGGTAATCCAAATAAAGGCTGGAGTTGATGAACAGTTCCTTCGAAGCTTTTAATAACAGAATATTCCGGGCACCCACGAATTACAGACAATGGCTGCGCGTCACGAGTGCGAAGCAGGAAGAGATTCACATCATTTTTATACCATCAGAAGGGCGGTACCGAGACACAAATTGTGGTATCATAACTTTCGTTTCTCCTCAACCGACTCTCAGCTTGGCGCATTCCAAAGCTTGTGCGTCTTCAGTAGGGAGTATTCCAATTCTAGGTGATGATTGTTACAAGGACGCCAAGCTACACTGCATGACGAAATATGAGCAGAATACAGACTTCAATACTCCGTTCGGCATCGTTGCAATTCCTGTTGAATTTTATCATAACTTAGGATACATACATTGGTTCATCTTGATTTGGACTCATCTATAGTTTTGAACTCAGTGGGGCGTGATCTGATGTCATGATTGCTTCCATTTTACATTGAAAAGCTCTAAAGCAGGGGTGCCCAACCATTTTTTTCCCCAAGGGCTACTTTTCAAGGAGCCAACCTTGCGAGATCTACCAGTCCAGTGTCAACATCTGACCCACCCCGCCCCCCCCTCCCCCACACACACACGTATTAACAATAAAAGTCTCAGGGCCAAGCCATTTGGCTTTCCTACATAGAACCAAATATGAACCAAACAGAAAAAAAAAAACAGCTACGAAACAGGTAGATCTCTGTTTGAAAAAAGGAAATCACTTCCTACCTCAGTGGGCTGGTTTTGATCCCAATGTCATTTTGCAATCTCAGAATCTCATCCTCAAGAGTGGGGCTTTCAAAGTCAAAAAGTGATTTGACTTTGGCGGCAATGTCACCAACATCAATATTTGCACCAAATGGATAACACATATAGCTGACTATAGGCTCGATGGATGCAAAGTCAGTAAAACTCCTCTCAAACTCTGATGAGATGCTCTGAACATGCTCCTCATAACGTGCACTGTCAAGCTGTGTCACACCTTTCCCTTGACGGGGTGGTTCTGCTTGCATGTGAGGGAAGTTGCACAGGTTACCAAGCCAAAAGTCTGCAATAACACCAGAAAAAGTCGCTAGATTGTTACTTGTCACTTTTTTGAAAAAAAAAAGTCGCTCCAGAGGATCTGAATACTCACTAAATATAGTGTCAAAGTCGCTAAGTTTGGCGGCACTGACTTCCTGTCATGTCATAAAAAAAAAAAAAAAAAAAAACACCATTTTTTTTTTCCCCCAACACATCTCGCGGTAGCCTTGGGATCAGTCCGCGGTGCTCTAAAGGAATTAGAGCTAAGATCGGTCCAAAAAAATCGAGCCCGACCCAAACCGGCCCGAGGGTATTTAAGCCCGACTCGGCCCGAGCCCGATCACTTAACTTGATTTGCAGGCCCGAGCCCGAAGCAAACCCGACATTTCATATTTTATTTGTGAGGACTCGGGAGGAGGAGGGGTGATTTCTGATAACAAAGCCTGTCTTTTGGAACGAAATCTAAGTTAAACAAGACTGTATAAACATTTACATCTTTTATATTTCTGTTTATTAAGAGGTTACATTAACTGACCATTTACCATCATTGACGGATTTTTTTAAGAGTGGACGGGGAAAATTTAAGGCCGACCGTCATTTTGACGGGTTGAAAATTGGGCCGTAAACCACCGCAGCAGTACGTCCTTAAGAATCTAGCGCGGCACTTCAAGAGAGAGTAGCAGAGAGACAAAGACGAACAATGATGGGTGGATACTCGACAGAGACTGGAAAGAGTTCTTTGAATTGTCATTGCAAGAGTTTAGTACAGTACGTGTTGTGATGAGGCGACTTCTGTTTTTTTGCGAACCACGGTCTCTCGTGGCCAAAACTATTTATTCACGGCCTCGAAACAAAAAAAAAAAAAGTCAGCGAGAGAGAAGCCCGACCCGACCCGAACCCGAAGCAATGATTGACATTTTAAGGCCCGACCCGACCCGAAATTCGGGTCGGGCTCGGGCGGCCCGATCTTACCTCTTAAAGGAATCCCCTGCAGACATCAAGAACATATCTAGCCGCGAATTGGTACCGTGTACATGTGAGAAAAAAAGTCATTTTCCTTGGCATGTAAATGACCCCAAACATCGATCAAGCCTTATTCTTTCATCAGTGTGATTAGAGCCAAAAGTTTTGGGGATTTAGAATCCAAGTCAGCGGGTATTTAATCAATATATCATCTCAAAACACATCAAATCTCCCCTGCTGCTTTATCAGCTATCAATGATGCAATATTCTTCAAGAATTTGGGTTGTCCACATTTGGAGCATATACTGTAAATTAAATATTATGCATATAGAGTAAATATAATGCCCCCTATTCTGCCAAATATCCCATCAAGTGTATTCCTTTGATAAGAGGAGCTATATTTCTGGCCTACGCATTCTCTCCTGAGCTTCTCATGCGCCTTACAAAAGAAATGTGTTTCCTGGACTGTTGCTGTTGCACAGTTAAGCTTTTTTAACTGCTTCAGTAAAGTTGTTTTCTGTTAATGGGGCTAACCAAGCCCTTAACGTTATTTATAACAAAGAAAAGATTGTCCATCTTTTTGCATAGCTCTATTTCACCTTTATATTGATTCACCCTTTGATAAAAAAAAAGATTGATTTACAATTGGTAGAGTAATGGCCCGATTCAAAACTCAGAACAAAAACAACATATACAACTGAGAAAACAGTAAATAAGCAATAACAGAACAATTAATGCTTCCACATACCACGCTGGATCAGAGTCCACAGACCTGATTAACCCAGTCCCCGAAGTATCCTGGGCAGATGTTGGTGACACATGCTCCATGGGGGGGTGCAAAACAAAACCCAACCAAACAAACAAACAAAAACAAAACTGTCGCCGTCATACTTATCGGCTTCACTCGTGGATCGTTGGTACCCTGCTCGCTTTTCATCACATCCTGTCCAAAGTTCAACACTTTTTCTTCCTTATCCTAATTTGTATTGTCAAAAACATCAACAACAAAAAAAAATCACTCCTTTGTATTGAAGAAGGATTTAATCCCTGCATTGGAAGAAGTTGTGTGGCCTCTCCTGTTCTCATTCTCGCAGGGCTCCATCCGTTTCGGGACAGCTCCGTTGCCAACCGCTCCCTCTCCTCCACTCGCAACTGCACGCCAAAGCCGTGTAGCTTTTCTCAGCATCATCAAGGGGCATTTTGAGCTGTGAAGGGAATATACATTTTTAATTGCTGTACAACATCACGGGCAAGCATTCTCTTTTTCTGTAACTCAGGTGAGAAGTCATGGTCGTAGTAAATCTACTTTGCTGTCCTCTGCTCGCATGCTTTTTGTAATATAGTGGTCTTGACAGAAGAATTCAAAAATCAATCAGAGAGCGTTGAGCAGATTTGGGATCCTTGGGCTTGGAGGAGAGGGTCCTGTGTTCCCTCTCAATGGCAATGTGGAGCTCAGGGGGACACTTGATGAGCAGATTTAAGCAACTCCTGTCCAAAGAGCTTGACATCTCTTCCCTCCCTCCCTTCTGGCACACATGAAATTCTCAGTATTCCACAATGTTGTGCATTTCCTTACACCGCACCTTCAAATGTATTTCTTTGTGCAGCAAAGGGCCTGCTCATGGCGCTTTGTGGTGTTCTCATTCGCACTAATGCAGCTGTCCTTTTCCCAAATTTGCCACATCATCTCTCATTCCCTTAACTCATTCGATGCCAGACATTTTTCTCAAACTGGGAGAGCCCATGCCAGCCATATTTGACAATTTTGTCAAATTTTTGAAGGTCAACAGAATATTGAGTGCTCCAGCTGTATTAGCATGGAACTTACCAAAAGAAAGCCTGAACCCTCTTCTTGCATCAGGAAAAAAGTACATTTCTACCCTTTACAATTCTTTAGTAAACAGCAGTTCAAGATTGATAAGTTTCATTCATTCATTCATTCATTTTCCGAACCACTTTATCCTCACAAGGGTCGCGGGGGGTGCTGGAGCTTATCCCAGCTGTCTTCAGGCAGTAGGCGGGGGACACCCTGAACCGGTTGCCAGCCAATCGCAGGGCACTACGAAACGAACAACCATTCCGGGTATTTAATCAATATATCATCTCAAAACACATCAAATCTCCCCTGCTGCTTTATCAGCTATCAATGATGCAATATTCTTCAAGAATTTGGGTTGTCCACATTTGGAGCATATACTGTAAATTAAATATTATGCATATAGAGTAAATATAATGCCCCCTATTCTGCCAAATATCCCATCAAGTGTATTCCTTTGATAAGAGGAGCTATATTGCTGGCCTACGCATTCTCTCCTGAGCTTCTCATGCGCCTTACAAAAGAAATGTGTTTCCTGGACTGTTGCTGTTGCACAGTTAAGCTTTTTTAACTGCTTCAGTAAAGTTGTTTTCTGTTAATGGGGCTAACCAAGCCCTTAACGTTATTTATAACAAAGAAAAGATTGTCCATCTTTTTGCATAGCTCTATTTCACCTTTATATTGATTCACCCTTTGATAAAAAAAAAGATTGATTTACAATTGGTAGAGTAATGGCCCGATTCAAAACTCAGAACAAAAACAACATATACAACTGAGAAAACAGTAAATAAGCAATAACAGAACAATTAATGCTTCCACATACCACGCTGGATCAGAGTCCACAGACCTGATTAACCCAGTCCCCGAAGTATCCTGGGCAGATGTTGGTGACACATGCTCCATGGGGGGGTGCAAAACAAAACCCAACCAAACAAACAAACAAAAACAAAACTGTCGCCGTCATACTTATCGGCTTCACTCGTGGATCGTTGGTACCCTGCTCGCTTTTCATCACATCCTGTCCAAAGTTAAACACTTTTTCTTCCTTATCCTAATTTGTATTGTCAAAAACATCAACAACAAAAAAAAATCACTCCTTTGTATTGAAGAAGGATTTAATCCCTGCATTGGAAGAAGTTGTGTGGCCTCTCCTGTTCTCATTCTCGCAGGGCTCCATCCGTTTCGGGACAGCTCCGTTGCCAACCGCTCCCTCTCCTCCACTCGCAACTGCACGCCAAAGCCGTGTAGCTTTTCTCAGCATCATCAAGGGGCATTTTGAGCTGTGAAGGGAATATACATTTTTAATTGCTGTACAACATCACGGGCAAGCATTCTCTTTTTCTGTAACTCAGGTGAGAAGTCATGGTCGTAGTAAATCTACTTTGCTGTCCTCTGCTCGCATGCTTTTTGTAATATAGTGGTCTTGACAGAAGAATTCAAAAATCAATCAGAGAGCGTTGAGCAGATTTGGGATCCTTGGGCTTGGAGGAGAGGGTCCTGTGTTCCCTCTCAATGGCAATGTGGAGCTCAGGGGGACACTTGATGAGCAGATTTAAGCAACTCCTGTCCAAAGAGCTTGACATCTCTTCCCTCCCTCCCTTCTGGCACACATGAAATTCTCAGTATTCCACAATGTTGTGCATTTCCTTACACCGCACCTTCAAATGTATTTCTTTGTGCAGCAAAGGGCCTGCTCATGGCGCTTTGTGGTGTCCTCATTCGCACTAATGCAGCTGTCCTTTTCCCAAATTTGCCACATTATCTCTTATTCCCTTAACTCATTCGATGCCAGACATTTTTCTCAAACTGGGAGAGCCCATGCCAGCCATATTTGACAATTTTGTCAAATTTTTGAAGGTCAACAGAATATTGAGTGCTCCAGCTGTATTAGCATGGAACTTACCAAAAGAAAGCCTGAACCCTCTTCTTGCATCAGGAAAAAAGTACATTTCTACCCTTTACAATTCTTTAGTAACCAGCAGTTCAAGATTGATAAGTTTCATTCATTCATTCATTCATTTTCCGAACCACTTTATCCTCACAAGGGTCGCGGGGGGTGCTGGAGCTTATCCCAGCTGTCTTCAGGCAGTAGGCGAGGGACACCCTGAACCGGTTGCCAGGCAATCGCAGGGCACTACGAAACGAACAACCATTCGGGCTCACACTCACACCTAGGGACAATTTGGAGTGTTCAATCAGCCTGCCATGCATGTTATTGGAATATGGGAGGAAACCAGAGGACCCGGAGAAAATCCACACAAGCACGGGGAGAACAGACAGGAAGGCCGGAGCCGGAATTGAACCCAGTACCTCTGCATTGTGAAGTCAACGTGCTAACCACTCGACTACCGGGCCGGGCTGGTAAGTTTCACATTGATGCTATTTTTTTTGCATTTTTGATACCTCAAATATCTAAACAATGCTTTCGTACTAAATAACAAACAACACAAAAAAGGTAACTTGTAATAACTTTTTATTGCAAGATAAACACTGCACTGCTGCATGAAGTGTTCATGAACGTTGTGGGCACGTTTGTGTGCCTGCGTGCGTGTGTTCATCAAGGATAACGATGGGATTTTGTCATCTTTTTTGAAAAAGCTATCTTTGTTAGGTTCAGAACCGAACGAACTAAATAATGCGTTTGGATCCTACAGATGCTGGCTCAGACAAAATGCAACAACAAAAATATATTTCCAGAAAAGCCCACCGACAAGTACAAACAGAAAACCCTGGTTTTCTGTTTGTACTTGCCACCTAAGGGCAAACCCAGAAAAAACACAAATTTGTGTGTTTCATCTAAAAAACAGGGAAGCTGATCGCAAGCTACAGATCAGCAGGTATGGTAAGAGGCTACAGCACATCTCAAATCCAGTCTACCTAGGGGTGACACTTGACAGGCCAAAGCTAGATAAGATAAGAAAACCTTTATTAGTCTCGCATTTGAGAAATTCCCAATTCACAGCAGCAAAGTTATGAAAGGAAGAAGTAGAAGAACAAATGATAGGAGCTGCTGGAAAGGCAGCCACTCTCGCGGCGCCATCTTGAAGTCCAAATAACAAAATAACACAACACAACACATAAGACACAGACAGTTGTGCAATCTTAATCACCTTTCCTGCATACACTTTGTTGTTTGAAGCAGTTATAGATGAAAGAGGAGAGGATCAAAGTGTCATTTCACCATTAGGTCAGCGACGTCATGCTGAAAATGTGCACACGTCTGCTACAAGCTAAGTTTTGAAAGCAAACACCAAGCTGTAGCGTCCATTGACGAAAAAGAGATTGGCTCACATCTCCTGTCCCACTTAATCCGCTTCAACTCCAAGCCGCGACTCCCAGTTCCACATACGCATCGGCGCTCTGTGCTGACGCTCCTTTCTTCTCATCGTCGGCTCCTCAAGCCTTGCATCCATTCAGTCGCAGACTGTCCAACAGCACCGATCTCTCCGCTGAACAAAGCGGGGCTGTGTAAAATGCTGCCCAATACAGTGCAAAAAAACACAAGTGCCCCAGAGCTGTCCATCTATAGCCCCGTTCACATGGCGACGTTTGGTCCGACGCTGCGCCGAAGCAGATCCAGTCGAGCGTTCACACGTGCACATTTGCTCCGACGTAGCTCCACTAAAGAGCTTATACCGGACCAAATTTGATCCACCTCAGGGAGGTGGTTTAAAAATTTGCTCCAGAGCAAATGCTCGCTTGCGGGGGAGTGGCCTCGCTACGCTCGCTACCAGATGCACGGAATCCGACCCCGGTCGACAGTGACGAGGGGGCCAGCGACACAGACG